GTGCCAGAGTAAAGGCTCTTCAGTGTTTAGGTACTTTGAATTTAATTATGTATGCCATAGGGGAGGGAGAGTACCTGTTGAATTCACTGGCAATAAATTTTGGGGTCCTGGCTAGATCCAACTAGTGCTCTGTGTCTGCTATATGCTGTTTAATAAGTGCTTTGGCCTGATCATATCCCATGCTGAGTAGAAGACCTGGAGAGAAGCCCAGGGGTGAGATTTTAGCTGCCACTGCCTGTTTCCATGTGGACTGAAAATCATCACTCACAAACATCAGAAGTATATTCAATCAAATGAAAGGCCTATCTAGCCCAGCATTGTGTGGCCCACAATGACCAACCACATGCTATAGAAACTCCCAAGTAGGTCTTCCAAGTTCAACAGCATTATCTTGCTTGTGTTTCCCAGTAAACAAGATGAGAACTTTTTATGAGACTCCCCAACCAGTATCAACAGTAAATCACATCCCTGATACTTTCAAGACTTAGGTTGTCTAGACTCAGCAGAAGACTTTAAGACACAGCTTAGCTAGATTAGAATCTTTATTGCAAACAAGAATGAAGCTATACACAACAATTGATAGCTCACCACCAGTAAAAAGATGTCAGTGATTTGTATACCCTTAAATTTGTGATTCCTTCCTCCTGTCTTTCTGAATTAATGGATACCCGGCACAGTGCTCGATGGTCTTAAAGCCAAACAACTGTTGCACACACACATGATAGCCACTTCTGCCCCAGGACCCATTCCTTCCAGCCACCAGCCTCGCTGTTTTATACCAATATAGTATTTACATTTTGTCTAGTAGCTACTGATAGCCTTACAGCAATGCTGTGATCTGCAATAATTTTGTATGCTATTATAATCTTTTCTATAGATTAAAAAAAACAAATTTGAAAATGTTCACGATATCTCATAAAATAACAATGACTCGAACAACCAAGAATAATGGAGGAATATAGAGCAGCATCAAAATGTGGAACAAGATAAAGCCTCAACAGTTCAAATGTATGGCAAAATAGAATTCTTCATCTGATAGCATATAAAAGAGAATACTGAAGATGCCCGGTGAGCAAATTCTGGCAGATAATTCTTCAACCGCAATGCAACCACAGCAATAAAAAACAAAAACCTTTCCCTGTCCTGACTGGTATGTGTAATCTAGCAGAGATTTACAGTCTTCCCAGTATAGGAGGGACTGATACACTGAACTTGATATACAGGCATGTTGAATGGTAGACAGTAATCCCTTAAGCTCCTGGGTCCATGCAGTGTAGATCTCCAAAGAGTAAACATTGGCATATAGAGTGCCACTAAGAAATACTGTAAGTACAATAGCAAACAATACCATTGCAAACAATACCAATAACAAACAATATCATTAAGCAAACCAGAGTCAAGCTGGCATATTCCTATTTTCCTTCTTTATTTTGCACATCATGTTATCCTCGCCTGGGACAAACTGTGATTTGCCATTTTGCCCAAATTGGCATAATTATGGCTTGCCCTTGCCTGCCATTTAGGATCATAGACCAAACTGCTTTGAAGACTACTGTAAACCTTAGTTTTTCTGAAGGTTTAGCACAAAAATGAATGAATGAATGAATGAATGAATAACATAGCTTTATGAAAGTGAAGGACATATACAACTCCCAAATGGATGTCTTTCATTATTTACTAATGTAAAGTTTCCTTCTCGTCAAGCTGAATTTCTGCTGACTTCAGTGACATATCCATATAGTTTTTTAAGCAGCAGTATTGAAGGAGCTTGACTTCTTCTGGGATTTTTTTTGTCAACTCCGCAGTCCAGCCTACAAACCTAGGTTTTCCCGGTGGATTCCCATCCAAATATTAACCAAGGGCACCTCTGCTTGGCTTTTCAAGAACAGCCAAAGCCAGCTAGGTGCTGCCATACAGTTAAAAACATTTTATAGGATGTGGCTGTTTGAACGAGACTAAAATGACCCCCGCGGTAAAAGAACTTCGATTAGCAGGGTCCAGAAGGCGGGCCTTCTCTGCTGCAGCCCCCGCCCTTTGGAACATCTTGCCCCCGGAGGTGAGACTGGCCCCCTCACTCCAGGCCTTTCAGAGGGATTTGAAGACTTGGCTCTGCCATTTGGCCTGGGGCGGGGAAGGAGGATGTCAGAAATGGGGTTGGCTGGTGTGGCCTCTATCGGCCTCTTGGATTTTTTAGCCTTTTTATTTCTGTAAGTGTGGTTTTAGAACTTTTAATTATGTATTTCTGATTTTAGTTTGTTGTAAGCCGCCCAGAGTCCCCCATTGTGGGGAGATGGGCGGGGACAAGTCTATTAAATAAATAAATAAAAATAAAATAAAATGTGCTGGAATACAGCACAACCCACATATTCTGAAACCTTTCAATGCATAATTTTAAGTACCGGAACAAAAGCAAGATAACCTAACCTACCATAGTTCCAGTCCCTACCATGCTGAGAAAAACTGAGATCAGGTTGGGAACAAACAAAGCAAATCAAACCAGTATTCAACGTGAAAGAATAACCATGGATTACATCCGTGGCTGAGATGGTGCTAAGAAAGGAATGTAAATATTTAGAACAGAACAGGGTCTGCTTTTTTGTACTGACATGCATGATCATTATTTTATTTGCATGACCTGGACTGCAATGGATTCAACCGCTGAAATGATAGTAACAGTGACTTTTCTAGCTAGGACTATAAATCTTGGGGAAAAAACAAAGGCCATCTGCTTTCTATTTTGTTTGGAATCGGCAAAAGTCTATGCTAGTTGCCAAAACAATTCTGAACAAATCCTTCCCGTCCCACTCAAAACATCTCCTTGCCTTCCTCCTGCATAATTTCTTCTTCTAATAAATATCCCATGCAGTTTCTCAGGTATTGACATTTTAGTGAAATGGCTCTACTTATACCAGATCACCCTAGGTCCACGAAAACTCAAGGGACACAATTCAGTTTAGAACAGCCTGATGTAAGATAACTGCAAAGAACACAGGAGTGTCTTCTGTATTAAGAATGTTTATTTACAAAACCACATTCCAAGTTTTGTCCCAGGAATCAGTTTTCAGTTATGAGACTTCACTGTGAGCTATACTGATTCATACAGAATTACAACTAATTCAGACGGAAGAATGACAGTGCCCTGAACGTAGGCAGAATGCCTCACCCAAGACACAGACCATCCGCGGCTGTGCCTCTGCAATATAGGGAAAAGAGATTCTCACTCAGAGAACAAGGAAAGGAAAAGTCTCCCTTGAGCTGAAATAGGCATCTACCTAACTTTCTGGACAACAATACCGAAGATTTCAATTTCCCAGACTAATCTATGGGCTGGCGTTTCCTAATGGTCTCCAAGCTCTTACAACCTTGTTTAGCTAGCTGCTTTACAAGCTGGCCTAAACTGGAAAGACACAAATCTAACATGGGATTTTTTATTATTATGCTTTCAAGTCAGTTTTTTGACTCCCGGCGACTGCCTGGACTAGTCCCTCCAGTTTTCTTGGCAAGGATTTTCAGAAGTGGTTTGCCCTTGCCTCCTTCCTAGGGCTGAGAGAGAGTGACTGGCCAAGGTCACCCAGCAGGCTTCGTGCCTAAGGCGGGACAAGAGCTGGCAGCTTTAGCCTGCTGTCCTCACCACTACCCCAAAGCCAGCAGTTCTCCCTTTTAGGAATGAAGCAGCCGCTTATCGAAGCGAGCTTATTCCTCCTCGGCTGGCAGCCTGGGCAGCAGCAGACTGTCCGCACGTATTGCCCCCACCAGTGACAGCAACTCCGGCTCACTCTCTCCCCCCTGCCCATCCTCACGCGCTCCTGGGAATTACATTCCAGGGCACTGCCCTCCTCCCCGCTCCCCCTCATCGTTCAGGATCTCGTTCTTGTCCGAATTCACTCGCCGTTGCCCCTCCTTTCTTTCCTCCTCAAGCTCTATTCGGCCCGATCCCTCCCCCTCGCCCCTAGGCACTCACATAGAGGGAGTAGACGCGGGAGCCATAGAAGTGCAGCGGCGTGTCGAGCAGCAGAGGCGCCGAGCTCACGTCGTCCCCGGGTTCCAACTCCTCGTCGCCTCGTTCCAAGCCGAAAGGGAAGAGGGACCCCTCGCGCGGAGAGCAGCCCCCTGACGCCAGCAGTGCCAGCAGCGCCCACAAACTCAGCCCCCTCAGGCTGCCCATGATCCCGCTCCTTCTCGAGTCAGCTCTAGGGCGAGGCGGCCGAACACACTACAAGTTTTAAACCCCGCCGGGGCTACGAAGAAAAAAAGAGGAGGGGGACACGCTTGCTAGAATGGGGAGCCAACCAATCAACGGAAGGTTTAGAAAAAACTATCCTATCGCAATGCGAGGACTTGCTTTTGCTTCCCTCCCCCGGCATCCCAAATCCATAGAAGTAAGAGTTAAAGCGTGGGATCATTTTCCTCCCTCCCATCTCCCCCATCCTCGTTTCCCGCCTTCTTCCACGAGCGCCTTATGCTCACATTCTGTAAGACGGACTCTACTGTTTCTTGCCCGCGTCGCGTGAATGGTTGCATATAAAATTGTAGGGAAATATGTCTTTTTTTTCTTTTTTTTGCCAGAGGAACTGCCCGGCTGGATTAATTTCGTTTTTGCTGAGCGTTTTGAATGTTCCGAATTTTTGCAGCTCCAACAGTTACCGTCCCTGTTATGAACCGTCCCTGTCTGTAGTTATTTAATAGCTCAGGTTAGGAAGGTCATTTATCCTCTGTGGATTTACTTAAGCCTTCTTTTTAGAAAAAGCATCTGGAAACGCTTTTCAGAATACAGTAATAGCAGAAAAATCGGCTGAAAAAGTGCTCAGGGCCATCTCATCTTAGGTCTGAGGCACTTTGACAGCAAACCCTGGTGTGTGGTTGAGACCAAGCCACTGTCATCTCCGTCACCAATCTAAAAACAAACGAGGACCAGCACAAGCAAATCCATTCTTCCTTCCAGCTGACAAATAGAAATGTGTGAAGAGTGGAATTCACTTTCCTGTTCTCCCATCGATCTTCAATTCGTGCAGGCTGCATTTTCCAGGTGATTTCCCCCCTTATACATGTAGGTGCTATTTATAACGGGGAGAAATGTGAGATGTCAAGACACCATGGCAGCTGAATCTCTGGAACCACAGAGAGAGAAGTCAGGTATTCAGAACCAGTTCCAACCAAAGTGAAAACAGCCACTCACAAGCTGCAAAACATTCATCCGACAATAGAAAATTTCAATTTTTCTGTGGATGCACCTCAGTGGAGCCCGAAATGTATTGGCTCATTGCTAAACAGAGATGACAGGATTTATCATGTAGGTGCCAAACTGATTCTGGAATGGCGCAAGAAACTTGCATGGAAGAATATAAAGGGAAATCCATCTCAGGTGGCATATATAGGGTACCCTACTTCAGGCATGGGAGATCTATTCCAGTATCGACTAAGACATGCACTTAATAAAATAATTCTCTGAGTATCAGAATTTGTTCTGAGTATCATAAATGAGCAGACCTCATGATTCTTCTGCAAGAAAGTTTAGTACATTTTATTCTAGTCTGTCTTCATTTCAACAGTGTAATTTAGGGCAGAGGTTGGGAATCGTGGTGGTTGTGATTTAAGAACTCCCTAAATTCAAAGAAAGTAACTGAAGTTTTAAGACTGGATGTTACTTTACTGTATGTATTGTACTATATGTATGTACACAAAAATAAGCAGCAAAATTGAATGGGAAGATAAGATCTCTTCCTAAAAGAAATTTTGTCTCTGTATCATCTATGCTTATAGTAGTCCAATCTGGATGACACTATTTTGTAGATAACTGAAGAAAATTAAAAGAAAAGCATAAGTTCTGCTCGAGAGAATACAGTAGGATTTACTTTTGAATGACTATGTATAAAATCATACTGTTAATGATAAGACAGCTCCGATAAGACAAATCTGAAGACTATTACCACCATAAGCTGCAAACATCTATGACTCAAGGACAGAACAACTTTGACTATGTAATCCTGAGATTCTGTGCGTTTCTTTGTATCATATAACAGTAAACTGTCCCCCCAAAATAACCAAATTCTAAAAAATGCATTGAGCATATAGTTTTAAATATCCATTATATTTTTTGTAAAAAGGAAGGAAATTAATTCTTGTTATTTTAATGGCATGGTTTTATGTGTTTAATCTTGGTATTTGAATCACATCATTTTAATTTATTGACTACTTTCAGCACCATCCAGTGAAATGAATGCAGAGTACAAATACTGTAAGTCATTCACTAAATTATTTTATAATCAATAGAGTCCTCTGTAAATATGTGGGAAAAAACATACACAAGAAAAATAAGAAAAGTAATGGTGGCCAAAACCAAAACCAACTCCAATCATAAAAAATAAATAAATAAATAAATAAATTGATGGGCTTACTTAACCTCCAGACTTCATGCCCAAGGTAATATCCCTGAGCCTTGGATGAGATGAGTCCCCATTGATGAAGATTTCACTTCATCACCATTTTACTGTTTAGCATATTTTAATTAAATATGTTATTTCTGTATTAATTGATTATGGGTTTCTCCTTGTTTGTACAAAGCCCAGAGTCACATGGTTTCAGTGGCATAGCCATATAAATGCTTAAATAAATAAATAAATCCAAAGACTTCCAAAATGCTAGCAGGGTTGGGGTTCCAAGAATATCAGAGGCTAAGGTCTTCCAGAGGGCAGATGCTGCAACAGAGAAGGCTTGCTTCCTAGGTCCCGCCACATAGCACTGTTTAATAGATAGGATCCAGAGCATGTCCACCTAGCTGGATCTAGTGGGATGGGCAGAAACAACTGGAGAGAAGTGGTCCCACAAATAATCTGGTCCCTTCACCTTGAATTGCAGCCGGAAGTCCATTGGAAGCCAGTGTTGCTCACGGAGCAGTGGTGTAACATGGGCATACTGAGGTTTGCTCATATCTGCTCAAGCTGCTGAATTCTGGATCAGTTGTAGCTTCCGAGTGACCTTCAAGGGCAGCCCCATGTAGAGCATATTACGGTAGTCCACTTGGGAGGTGATCAAAACATGAGTGGCTGTGATCAGTGCATCCTGATCTGAAAAAGTGTACAATCAGCATAAAATTGGATTTGTGCAAGAGCCATGGCTGCCACTTGCTCTTCAAACAGGGATCATGAGCCCAGGAGGACTCCCTCATTGTACACCAACTCTGCCTGGAGCAGAGCTACCCTATCAAGAACTAACAATGGAAGATCACCAAATCCAGGAGACTTTAAAATCCAAAGCTACTTGGTCTTGCTAGGGTTGAAGTGAAGCATGTTATTCCCCATCCAGATCCCCACAACCTCCAGGCACTGAGAGAAAAACCCAACAGCATCACTTGGTCTGCCTCGGGTTGACATGTACAGCTGAGTAATATCAGCATATTGTATTGATATTACTTCACCCTGTGCCAGCGAATGAGATCATCCAGCAGCTTTGCGTAAATGTTAAATAGGAGCAAGGAGAGCACAGAATCCTGAGGGAGCCCACAAAGAAAGGGACTTAGGCTAGATCTCTCTCTTCCCTTGTCAAGACCAACTGGAACTGGCCCTTGAGGAAGGAAGAGAGCATCCAATTGCAAACCAAGGATTTCAGGTTTTAAAGAGATAGGAACCTAACGTCTATGTTTTACATATCCATTGTGGTTACAGTACAAATTTCATGCTTTGATTATCACAAATGTTTTTTGCCAGAGAAATCAACACTGGACACCTTATGCATGCCAAATATATGATCCATAGGCTCCAATTAGCAAAGGCATGAAGATAAAGAGCTCACCATATAATATAATGTTCCCCAAACTTTCTGCCCTCCAGATATACTGACTACAATTCCCAGAATTCCTAAACAACCAAGGAGACGACTAAGAATTCTGGAATTGGTTCACATATCTGGGAGATATCAAGGCTGAGGAAAATGATAATGGAGAGGGACAGCAAGCTGGAATTAAGCTAGATTAATTGGAGGTGCCATTGATCTATAAAAAAAATAGGCTCTAGGATGAATAAGGTTGTTTTGAATAAGGTGGCACTCCTGTTAAAAAAATCAGTAGCCTTTATCCTCAACTGTCAGTAGATTCACAGTGTTTATGCTACCTAATCAGGGTGGCAAAAACCTGGATGACCATTAGATGTCAGAGCATGCTAATACCTAATGGTCATCAAGAATTTTGCAAGATTTTACCCCTAACAGTGGTGGTTGTGGCAAGGAGGTCATTTCCACAACTAATTCTAGTATATCAAGTCAGTTGGATTTGGCAATAGCTATTCATGTTTTAGTTGTACCCTACTTGGTTATTGTAGGACTCCTCTTGAAAGTGTTTGGAAGTTTCACCTGGTGCAAAGTGTAGGATCTAGGCTGCTAACCAGTTCTAAGCAATTAACAGCTTGCCAAATGCTGCTTGGGCATCATAAAGTGTTGGTGCTGACCGCTGAAGCCTTAAATAGCTTAGGGCCTCATTGTTTGAAGGATCACCTCTCCTGTTAGGGACCTCAGGAATGGAGATCTGCAACAAGAGGGGGACCCTTAGAGATGTCCACTCTCACAGAATCCCATCCAATGGACCTTCTCCTGAGTGTCTCTAAGAATGCATTCTCTTTGATGCTCCCCACTCACTCTACCTTTAGAGAAGATCTATCTCTTTAGCTAACCCTTTAAAGATCAATAGTTTGTATTTAAAGATACTTATTTTAATTGTTTTAATCTTTATTTTGTTTTAAACTACAAGTTACCTTGAGTGTTCATTTCAAATTGAAAGGTGGCATACAAACCAAATAAGCATGCACATATTTATTTATGTCCATATTTATTCCTTTAGCTATCTGATATGCTTCAAGTTTAAGATGGAAATATACTTTGGTTTACCACAGATTATATACTTAAGAAAAAGTTTATCTAGCAGACAAAATACAGATGCAGTCAAGGATTAAACTTTATCTATTGACTTCTGCAGTCTCCTTTGCCCCCAATTAGTTGTTTATCAGGTAATCCCAGGTGGACAGAAGTCTTGTCTGTCTTACTCCTCTCCTTTTAACTCAGTGAAATGATTCACCCATCTTCTGCACTGGTGTGTGCACACATAAACACATGCACTTTTAGTTTTATAACAGAGTTTGAGTTTAATAAGATGAAGTAAAAAAAAAAATTCTCGAAGATACTCTTTAAAGCTTCTAGGAAAATGTTTAGAGTTTGAGCACATATTTTGACTATATTGTAGCGAGGAAAAGAACAAAGAGA